TCTTTCACTTGTTTCAGCGTGCGGTAACGGCGGCGCACAAATACGTGGAGAAACTGCGGAAGAAAGGGAACGGATTCTTAGAGCAGTCGAAGAAACTTTCGCCAAAATTGATCACGATGCCAGTTCAGAAGCACGGCTCGTTTTTGGATTTTTGAGTAACTGTCATCTAGCAGCTATTGACTACTTTTCAGAAAAATCGGAGATGCTTGGTCACAACTGAATTCTAAGTGGAGGACTCTTTTGTACACAGATTATCACAAGATTGATACTAACATTGCACAGAAGTTGCAATGGTGATTGTTATTGTTATTGGATGGTTGTGCCATTTGTTCGAGACGTTTGAGATAGATTTTAAAATAAAGATGTTGAAAGCGTGTAAAAGTTCATCGCTTACTTTTCATAGTGCCGTTATCCTGCAAAAGCACGAATCACACGTAATTTATAAATGATAGCGTATGTCTTTAGTTCAAATGTTCAAATTTTGAAGGACAACGTGTTCTAAACGTTTATGTTTACAGTAATTATAAAATACCCAATCATAGAAAGAACATAAGTTCACTAATTCAGTCTCATTACATCACATTACAATACGAATCAGACCTTTTTGATTAGTCAATTTTTTTTGGTTTCTCATACATTCTGAATAGCGGAAGAGCGACAACACTCAGCCCAAAGAATAATTTATTTCGGCAATTATTACAGCATAAATAACCATAACATTACCGAAAAGACATACTGAGAAGCACTTATAGTCAGTACTGAGAATTCTTGAAGAACAGAAAAACGAGCTCGAACTCGAAACAACAAAAAACCATAACAATAGGGAAAGCTCATAGAGCAAAAAAATTTTCAAGCTTAAAAAGATGCGCAGAGATCACTTCAATATCTGTCCCGAATAGGGCTGAACCTTCTTCTATCCCTATCAAAGTCGTCTCCATTACGTCTCATACCAAAAGATCCATACCTACGACGCAATAAGTTTTATTGAGATTATAACTACTGGAAACGAAACAAACCTCCTCACTGGACCGGGTCCAACACCGGGCATTGTGATGGCAACGTCAATGAAATCGCCAA